GGAATAGAAGTAAAAAACGTCAGAGTAGATACACCTGTCTGTTAGACATCTGGTTATAAAAATTATGCAAATATTCAGTGAGGTTTATATTTGCATTAGTTGTACATGAGTGATAACAGCTGATACTGTTAACAATCGAAACAGCAGAGTAGCATTTCAGTGCGGGGTTTTCTGGGTTCATGCCCACAAGTCTGAAAGCACAGGGAGTTTCCGTCAAGTCTTGGTGGCCGTTGTCCTTCCATGTCACATTCACGTCAATGTTAGGACGTGGTGACACTGGTCATCCTGGGCAATAACAGGATCATCTGGAGACCTGTTGACGTTCACATATTGCAGCCACAGTTTCCAAGAGGGAGGAAGGCAAGGGAGGAGGTTAGGATTGCGCTGACACAGCTTCTCTGACAACTCCTGCCGGCACACCGTTTTCTTGTATAAATATTTCCACCGATTTCCAGAAAATGCAAGTCATACTGAGTACTTAATAGAGTCACAGCCTTCCTCTTATTACACCTGAGTGGGCTGCAGCAAGTGCACTTAAGTAGAATGCACAATTGTTGGGTTTAGCAAACCACAAAAATGCGTGAAATGCTGCAAAGATATCAGCTCTTATTACAAATATTGTAATGGCACCACAAGATTGCTACTGCATTGACAATATACAGTTGTTAGAGCAAACATCCTAAACTAGATTTAACATGGCAATCATACTGAAAACACACAGGGTATAGGGCAGTGTAAATTTCTCAACTACAGAAATTTAGATTAGGTTCACCCAGAATTAAAATATCCTGAAATGTAAAATATAGTTGATAGAAAGTCAAGGTAAATGTTCTTTCATATTGCAGTAATTGCCTGTAGTAGTCCATTTACAAAACTTCCTTAGTCACAATGAGCAAACATTAAAAAGGAATCATCATGATCCTAGAGAAGACATTTTTGTAGCTCAGATACAAAATCGTGGTGATGACTTCTGCAAGGTGTTACGCTTTGTGTAGTTTTAACAGAGGAAGAGCATTGTGAGTGCATATCACTGTCGCTTGATTTTTTCGTTGCATGGACAAGGCACGTAGAACTAGCAACTGTATCTGTTGACATTCTCAATCTTTAGTTTAAATGTTTTATCCAAGTCGTGCAAGCATCCCAGAAGCTGGGGGAGAAGAATTCTGGTTATGTGAGTTTGCAGCAGTTATTTACAACACTGGCTTTGATTCACTCTGCTGTATTTGTACATCTGTCCTCTGTTCAGCAATGGAGAGGAGTATTGTTCTTTCCTGCATTCTTTCTTTTTTTCTTTTTTTTAATTGATATTTTATTTAAAGCTTCCAAGCCAAAGTAGTTCTTTGGATAGTGATGCCTCTGCAGGACATATAGCTGCATTATTTATTTGCTTTTTAAAACCTTTTTTTTAGTAAGTTTGTGGTAGGCACACTGTTCTATTTCTGTCTATTGTTCAGCTATTCTTGAACAACAGATTTTGTGTTCAAGGGTGAAGAGAAGGAGGAGTGTGTCCTAGTGGTGTGGTAACAGGGAGGAGATTTAGTAAAAGCAGAGTCTGTTCGCATGGGCACAGGCAGACGCAAGTGAGAGAGGTGATGCTTTGCAGGGCATGAGGGATGATCAATCACAAGGTGAGGTTGGGCTGGGCAGATTGTGGTGTTTCTCCAACTCATATGGACTAGAGTTTCAAAGACCACTCAGATAACCGAAGAGAAGTACTTACAGGATTTTCAAATGTAGTTACTAAAGGCATCTCTTCTTTTGACAAAAGTAATAAAGTTGTGGCAATTAATACACTCATCAAGCATGTGGTCTTGATGAACCTGGGAACAACAGCCAGATTCTGCCTAAGTCTGTTGGTTTCCCACCCAGTAACATTACCCAGTAATACATGATCTTATACAGAACATTTAGCCATGTTGTAAGATCATCTTTCAGCTCTGACATTATATGTGGCTAACTACATAAATCCTGTCTAATAGAGGAAATAATTCTGTGTCAGAAGATTTTCTGCTGTTGACATTCCTAGCCTTCCTGCTACCCCACATTTAGACAGAACAGGTGGAACACAAATAAGAGTGCATTTTATCGTGGAAGAAAATGTTGGGTTTGCATGCTGTTTACAGTAGAAGCATTAAAGCGGTCTATGGATGTGAAAACATTGGAGTTTTTCTTTCACAGTCAGCTTTTAGTATCCTTTGACTTGAAAGACTCCTTTTCAAAAGTCTAATTTTTATTTCCTTTTGGGGAAAAGGAGAGAGAAGGCTTCACAGTATGTAGGCTGCAACTTCTTCCCCTTCCCCTCCTCCTTCTTTTTTTGGTTTAGAACCTGTCAGGTGGGAATCTCCATGCTTGCGTACAAGTGCACAAGAATGTGAATAATCATGCCACGTTAATGACAGTTCGTTGTGGCCTGAGATCTTGACCTTGCTTCTTTCCAAACTGTGGCACTATATAGACCGTATGGGCAGTTTCAGATGGAAATACTATGAAATATATAACTTCCCACCTATTCCCAGAGAAAAGAAAAGCTGTGCAGTTTCTTCGTGGTTTTTTCTGTTTGTGGCAGCAGAGTGAAGCCAGGCTGCAACATGCATTACCTACTTTCTGAGGGAACTAAGTTATATGAGAATTAGTCTTGAGAAGTGTCCCTTCATAGGAGAAATTTGGAACGATCTGTGCTCATTTCTCCATTTTACTCTCACGGTTTCCCTTCTGACCTTGTAACTAACTCTGTGGGCTAGATTACAGAAGTTGGTTACATACCTAAAAATGTACCTAGAAATTATGTACCTGTCTCACACTGTGAAATGAAGTTCATAAGGGAAGAACTCTAAAATGTGTAATCAGTCTTATTTTCCCATTTTTTCATCTATTAGCTTTTCATCAGATTTGACTTGAAATCTAAACATTTGTATTTATTTATTTTACTTCCTACAAGAAAGACTGTATGAAATTAGAGATTAGGTCGGTATCTCTGACTTCTGAGGATGAGGATGACTTTGACTGGAAGGAAATCATCTTTTAGACGTATGTTCAGGTGCTGTTGAATCTCACTTGGAAACAAGAAAAATGCTGTCTGGAAGTTATTCTTGCTGGAGAAGGCCACATAGCCCGTGCCTTTCAGGTCCGGGAGATCTCAATAGCTTCAGCTCCAGCGAGCTGTACCCTGGCCGTTTCATTATGTCTCCCTTTTGCTGTTCCATGGATCTGCGTATTACCAGTAAAGACAGGGAGAAAAGACCACCCCTGTGGTCCAGATTCCCTACCTCGTGGTGGAAACAGCCACAGTGAGCCCACACCACTTTACTGTTAGCAGCCGGCTGCCTTTCTTCCAGCAGATTGAGATGTAGGCTCCACAGCTTCGCTATCGGTCAACGTACCGCTGGGCTCTGCAAGGTGCTTTACGTGTCCTAGACTGAGAGATCGGGCTCTGACCCAGAAGGGCTTTCTCTGGCAACACGTGAAAGCTTGTTCTCCGGGTTTCTGCCTGACTCCTGTAAACTCCTCTCTCGCCCATCTGTCATTTTATGTTCTGCGCTTGGGCGTTTAGATCTTTCCTTGCCACCTCATATGTAAATTACCGCTGTTGATGAAAGTCCCCACTGGTCATAAAACAATCAGCATGTTTCATACGGTGGCAGCTGCTCTAATGCAGCAAATTATTTTAAGAGCTGTTGAAAATATGGAATTTAGATGAAGTATATTCTCCAAATGATTCACTGTCTCATTTGTGGTTAGTGAGGTAAAGAGCTATGTGGTTGTGCTTAAACTTTACTTTAGAAGAATTGTAAATGCAAACTCATTCTCACTTAACTCCTAACCCCCCACCCCCCTGCATCCCCCCCCCCCCCCCCCCCCCAGACTGTGTATTCTTTGCCAAAATAAGTCTTAGCTAACCACTGCTTCTATCCCAGTGTGAAATACCTTCCTAAATGGGCCTTGTCTCTTCCTTCTCTGTCTCCCATCACCTTACCTTTAGGGCAGAGTCAGTTTTGGTTATTTACTATTCAGTCTTTCTTTTGCTCTAAACCTGAGAAATTGGAACAAAAGAAAAAAACCAAACCTACCACTTCTTCACAATACGAGTCTTTTGCAATGTTGACTCTATACCCTCAATGAAGGGTATTTGTGCTGAGAAAAAATTTAAGTTTGACAGTGTTCCCATGTTAAAAATGAAATCTCTTTGGGCAACTGAGTTTCCCACTTGTGCCCTAATTTTTGTAGAGTTTCTGTTTTCCAGTGTGCCACTACTGCTTCATGTCACAGATTAAGTTAAAGGTTATTCCATTGTTCCTTATTTGCCTTTGGAGAAACAGTAAGTTTGTGAGAAGTTTCTCCGCAGTCAAAACCTTCACTTCAGGGAGAGAAATCTTTAATAAATACAGTGGAATGTTTGGGAGTAACCATACTGCTTGGAATGAACAGCCACTAGAAAACACGAATACATGCCAATATGATATCTGAAATACTGCTAAAAGCACGTTATTCAGACTTGCTCCAACCCCAGGGGCCCCAGCCCTCATGTAGAACCCTTCTCTCTGGAGTCTGGTGAGTGCAGATGGTAATCTAGTGATCATACTCCAGTGTACTTTCTATAATCTTCTCTGGGTAATAAAGTAAAATGCCTGCCCTGGGCATTTGCATAGCTGTAACTATCCGGCTGTGTTTACCCTCTGAAAGAGTCAAACCAAATTTACACAGAAAACCTCTAACAGAGATACTGGAGGTATGCAACTGATGAAACCAACCATGCAACCCTTCATGTATGGAGGGTTGCTGAGCCCATAAAGACTTTGTTGCTCAAACTACATTGCATAATAAAGAAGACACATACATTCCATGTATTTATGGCTGAGTATACATGCAGACTTGCTTTTTTTGATTCCTAGAAAGAGTAAGTTGTGAGTTTAAATATTGTTTAGCTATCTAGTGTTCTGATTTTAGATAAGGCAACCTTGAACAAATAAAATTTCAGAATAAAAGGGGGAGCCTTTTGCAACATGGCTTATCAGATGCACCCGAGACGCGTTTGCCTACCTCAGGATTGCAAAGGTGATTTCCCATTTCTGGTACCTTCTACCCCCTGTAGCTCAGAGCAAACTGGAGCTGATCGTGAGTTACTCAAGTTTATAAACCCTGCTCGCCCACCCCCAGTGGAGTCCATTGATGAATGCTGTGGCCATCTGGTTTGTGTGGGTGTGTGTGAATTTTCTTTTAACCCCCGAAGGCTAAGAGTTCACAGTCCACAAGTTTCCACACAATTCCGGTCAGAGGCTCTGCAGCGTATAGTTTTGAAACTCTTGAACTAATGTGTCAGTATTTAATTTGGTTTTTCTTACTGTTTCTGAGAATACCACATAATTTAAGAGACTGAGATAGTTGTCATGTGTGCAGGAATTTACTGACTTACATTTTCTTGATCCACGCTTCTCATGGTAGGTTTGTGTTACTTTAATAGAAGTTTAATTTTCTCACTGTTTATGTTTATTTTAGTTTGTTCAAGTTCATTCAATCAGATGCTACTAATAGAAGAGACTTCGTAACACTTACTTGTAATGTTGTTTCTGTCAGCAGAGGGAGAAGTGAAGGAGCAAAACTTTTTTTTTTCTGAACATTTCCTTAAGTAGCATTTGTTCTGCTTGCTTCTGCAAAAGCAGCATATGACATTAACTGTCTATTTGTCACTGCTTTGTTTCTGTCACAGTTTTTTTTCTCTCCGAGTAGTTCTTTGTAATATAGTTTACATGTGTACTGTCAAATAACTTCAAAATGGCTTAAGATCGTTGTTTTACATTCATAGTTATATAAAATTGAACATTAAAATGCAGGGGAAATTTTTGGTATTGTTTTAACTAAATCTATGTTTTTATTTCCCTGAAGTTTCAGACCCAGAGCTTACGTCTTTCAGACCTGCACAGAAAATCTCAGCTATGGAGAGGGATTGTTAGTGTTACCTTAATAGAAGGTCGTGAACTTAAGGCAATGGATGCGAATGGACTAAGTGATCCTTACGTGAAGTTCCGGTTGGGTCATCAGAAGTACAAGAGCAAGGTAATTCTAGCTGTGACCTGAAATGCACATTGGCTGTGTTTGAAATGTTTTGTTCCCATTTGTGGTTTTTTGGCTTATGTGACGATGTGAATAGTGATGGAGATTTATTGTTGTATTAACTAGTTGTCAGGGCATCTGGAGTTTTGTTTAGATGTTTGGTTTTATTTCCTTATAAACAAAAATAATACTAGGTGATACTGAAAAATGTGGGGTGACAGGGCAGGACACACGATTTTCCATACAGACTGCGTTGGCTTTTATTTCCATGTGTCATTCATGGCAGGGGAGAGATGTGGAGTGGTTCTGACAAGTAGAAGTCACCTTTGTGCCTTTCTGGCTTGATACCGCTCACCTCTTGGATCCTTTGCATGGTCTTATCCTCAAACCATGTCATGCTTATATTCTCACTTTCCTCATTGTGTCTTTATAGCAAGTTTCATTAAATTTTTGTGTACATATGAGCTCAACAGGTAGAGAGGATTGATCAAGGAGAAAACGATTGTGGAGACTTGCTTGGCTTTCTTGCTGCTATTTTTTTGTTTCCCTGATCCCTACTGGTTTGAAAACTGCTGTTTATGGAAGATGCTCGGACTGCCGATGATGCACAGGACCTCCCTCTCTCAATGGCCATGACAGCCCATGTGGTTTTCACAGCCAGATGAAGGGTAAAGTGAGGAAGAGACCAGGAGCATTTAGGTGCCACATTTGCAGGCCTGTGAGCCTGCCTTAGGACCTCTTAATCTGAAATTAGAATAAATCAAATTTCATTCTTTTGTTACTTAAAAACTTTCATAGCATTTCTGTGTTTTAATCCTCTCTGATTTTTCCATTTTTTCAAGCCAGCAGAACTGATGGATGTAGTAGGTAGCAATTGCTTCATAGGGAAGGTACTAGACAGTTTCCATTCTTGCTCAGGACAGATGTGACTACTGTGACTACTGCTTTTGCGTTATGGTAGAAAAATCTGCAAGCTTTCTGTTCTGCTGAGTGTGGTCAGAAGTACATGGACTGAAATCCATTGAAGTTAGTTCTTTTGTCAGAAGTAACTGGACTGATAATGATTGAGAAAGCTGCTTTCATCTGAGTTGCAAAGGAAAGGAAGTAAAATACAGTTCTGAAAAAAAAAAAGAGTATTATTCCATAAAAAGTAAAACCATAGTATCATCTTTCTCCCAGTATTACTGCAGCTGGGGAGACGGGACATGATAAAATGTTTAAATACTTACAGTCACTATCTACTTGTCATTGCTGGTGCTTTGTTTTCCTTTACACTCAGACACATAACTTCACAGCTGTCACTTAAGAGAGGACATAATTATGCTACAGAAAAATGGATCCATTCCCAGGGTAAATCTTTTGTTCAGGAGGCTTTTGAAGGTGACAGGTTGCAGGATTTTGGAGGTTGCTGTTGTGTCAGAGAGGCATGGGAGAACTGGCCGGTAGTCTTTTCTAATTACGATTTATTTAATTCTCACTGCTTAAGATACTCATACTGCAAATAGAAAAACCTTCCTGAACAGACTCTAAAGATCAAATTTACAATTCAAGAAACTATGCCTGCAAAATGCAGTATGACTTTCTTTTTGCTCTCCTTTCAGATTGTGCCAAAAACTTTGAATCCTCAGTGGAGGGAGCAGTTTGACTTTCATCTCTATGAAGAACGAGGTGGAATTATTGATATTACCGTGTGGGACAAAGATGCTGGCAAAAAGGATGATTTTATTGGCAGGTTTGTGCAATTACAGCCTTCTTGTTCCCTGGGGATGAGGGCAGATGATTAAAATGAGCCTTGCCGTTGAAACTATTTCTTACGACCATTTGTTCTTGGTTTGGTGTTTTTTTTTTTCTTAAAGGTGGGGGAGGATTTTTTACAAGATATCAGTACAGTTTACTGCATTGATGTAATTCTTTATTTTGATGGTGTAAAATAATTTTTATTGACCAGCAGGTGGCAGCTTTTACCAATTGATAGCGACAGGTTTTCCAAAATAAAAATCCCAGGTTTAGAGCAATAATCAAGATGCAGGAGGTTCCATATGGCAACGTCCAACTTGGAAGAGAAATAACTCTTCTGACTTATAATAGGCACATAAGACCAAAATTATGCACTTATCTTTTAATCTATTTGGTGAATGAAATGAGAGCCTTGAAGGACTAACGTCAACTTTTGGGGCAAAGAAATAAGATCATTCTCCTAATTCGTTTTCAGGAAAAGTGAATCTTTGGGATCTGTCTTGGAGTTCAAGGAATGGTATAAATTTGTATGGTTATGCTCCATTTTACTATATAGGAAGAAGAAAAGTGCTGATGTTTTTTAACTGTGGCATTAGCTGTTGGCTAATGGGAGGAAAAACTGTCTTGTGCTTATAGTACAAAGTAGGTGCTATTTGGAAAGCTCAGGTATTTGTTTACATCCTGCTTTAATTGGTATCCATACATCGTAATAATAGTAATTATTATTAATCTCATGTACAGCTCAGGTATTTGTTTACATCCTGCTTTAGCTGATATCCATACATCATAATAATAGTAATTACTATTAATCTCATGTATTTTGATTGTTTGTTAGGGTACTGGTTGTAGGTGCTTTCACCAGGACATTGATACTATTAACTAGTAAAATTACTTTTTTTGATAGTTAAGATCAGGGATGGAAATCCCGCAGACTGAGCCATGTACTTTTGTTGTCAGTGTGATTATGTTTCTACTGACCTTTTCCTCCTCCCATTCTGTTTAGGGTAATGGCTTGCTTTATCAAATTAGATCTGTCGGATCATATTCTGTGTTTATTTCCTACCATAAATTGTGGGAGCTCAGAGTACATACAGAGTCTCTGGCAAGCAAGCAACTTTAATGTCGACAAAGCTCCTTTTCAAAAGTGTACACAGCAGGGGTTTATTTTATGTGGTGAAACCCTATGGATGGGAGGATATGTTTATGTTTGAAGTTTACATTGTCTTTTTTCCCTTACTTGATTTCAACCGATGTGTATGGTAACAGTAGCTGTTTTTCTGAAGTAACATAAGCATTTAGTCCTATGTCAACATGTACTATACCTTGGGAAATTATTGCTATTTTCTGCTTAACTTTAATGTTCTTATCCAAAAGATGGTGAGATTCAGAGTTTTCACGTGCGGTTTTTCAGAACACTGTCATCAAAGCAGCACTTGCATTGTTACTGCTACCAGTAATTCTAAAGTCTTTTTAAGAGCATTGCATAAAATAAAAGATACCAGTTTTGCTCCAAGGCATTTGAAACCTAAGAAAGAATGTGGTAGAGAAGTTAGAGAAGAACAAATTGTAACTTCAAACAGTCACATGAGCTGCTTCGGTAGCTTTTCAGATACCGAAAAATGTTTAGATTTACTAAAATCTTTTTAGTAACTGCATGCTTTTATGCAAGTCAAAAATGATTTCTACATTTTATTTAGGCCCAAAAATTTGATAGCATGAGAAATCGTCTCTCTAAGAGGAATGCTTGAAGCCTTTAGCATTTTTCAGTGGGAGAACCAAGTTTGTTTTGTTTTCTGTCATTTTCCTAAATAGTTGTAATTCTTGTATATACCAAAAAAGACACTCCTTGGACAAAGCTAATCTTCTATACCACATACTTCTGCAGTATATAACTGATTTTAACAAAATCAGTGGTATTTTTCCCAAAATCTTGCTGCTGTGTATTTTTGTGACCTCTCTGCTGTCATTGTATGTATAATCCCTCTTCAGTTTGTCCTTTCAGACACTCTCTCATTTCACCTTCTGTTGGTACCTTATCTCTGGATAATGCAACCTGCAAACAAATTCCTCTCCATGAAGATTTCCATGAAAAACTGTCATTTGTCAAGCTCAATCTGAATACAAAAATAGGTCTTAATATTCCCCCTCCCTGATACTCTTTTCCAGTCACTGTGGATAAAAATCACCAACACCTGACAGCTCCACTTTACATTGACCTCTCTTCCCCAGATTCTCTTTTTGAGGCCGCCTCTAAAAGCTGGAAGTACTTTGGTACCGACACTACAGGCTTGCTCTGTGTGTGTGTGTGTTATGCTAAACGTATATTAATTTTGCAATTGACTGAGTTGTGCTCCATGACTAAGGCTCTCTGACTCTTAAGGCACATGTAATAAATTGAATATTTTGATTCAGGTTCCAGGAAAAGTGATAATGAGGCCGTAGGAGGGAAACAAAAGACTTCCTGGTAGTATTCTAGCATTGCTCAGTAATGGAGAGTAATCCCTTTCATCTTACTGTGATCTTCCCACTTTCCTGAATAATGTGCAAGCAGCAGCTGTTATATTGCATAGGAATATTTTTGTTAAATGCAAATGAAAACTATTATTTCTTGAAGATGTCTTGCCTGGCCAAAGCATGATTAGGGAGAAGCCATGCTTGATTGCAGAGATCCTACTCACTGAGGAAAACAGGAGACCAAATTGAGAAAACAGAAGAAAAAGATTGTTTAAGTTCTCAGCTTTCGTTCACGGTGTTGTTTTTTTGGGTCCTCCACAGTCATCTGCTCACGGAGCTCGCATGAAGGTCAGCAGAATTTCCCATGCAAAACGGGCATTACCGAGCTGCTTTGCCAGGGGATCTCTTTGAAGAGTGCCATCCCTAAAACTTTTGTGGGAGAACAGGCTCACTGGCTGGAAGGTTGAAGGGACAAACTCCAGGTTCCTCCTGGAAAACAGCACGGGAAGCCCCCGTTGCATTGAAGTGTTCTCACTGTGTTAAGCTCTGTAACTTGGAAATTTTATTCCGAAGCAGAATGTTCTAACTTCTCATGGAATGATGCTCTGTCTCAGCTGCACTTCAGTGAAATAAAAAAGTGGGAAATGAGAAGCGTAGACTTCTATGGACCCTGTGTGTATCATGATACTCATTAGGCTGGAGCATCGTAAGGGCTAGGAGGGAGCTGGGAATGTGATGAGGTGGTGATGGTACGTGTGCTGGCACTGTGAGAGCTTGGCTTGCGATCCTGTTTAGAGGGGAGGAAGGTGAAGGAGAGAGATTTGAGAAGGCTGAAGACATGGAAGTGAGACTGTGGCTTTGGAGTGGTGTGACAAGAGGAGAATGGAAGTGGAAGGGGTGGCTTGTAAGAGGGAGGAAGGTGTTAAGAGGGTAGGAGTTGACAGCATGGCATCCTAATTCAGAGAAGGAGAAAGATGCGTCTGTCACAGAACTAGCATAAAGCTGCATCTTCATCTTGGTGCCCAGGCACATTCAGCATGGCGGTTCCTGAAACAAGATGCTGACTGGTAGATTTCCGTTCTTAACTTCAAGCATGATGTGTCTGTAAAAATCATTTGAGTTTCAGTTGTGTTCATTCTCCATGAGGGTTTAAAGCATGTTGCACCTTGTGAACTTCTGCCTTAGAATAGTCTAAAAAACTGAAATCCTAGAACCATTTCAGTGTTTATTTTGGGATTTCAAAAGCCTGGAAAAAGACCTCATACAAAAACTTCGAGGAAAATACATTTCCTATCATATGCTGATTTGTATGAGGAAACTGTGGGCTTGACCAGAACTGAGCTTCACCATGCAGGAGATTAAATTCTGGCATTCTTCTGAATATCGTTTTTTTAAAAAAGCCCAACATTCCAGGACCAAAGAGCTGAGATCTAGAAGTTCTTTTTTTGGAGAACACCAGCAGCTAAAGCCACAGGGGCGGCCATCTTGCGTTCAAATACGCATGTGGACTTGCACGAGCAGTGTTAGTCATTAGTTCATCTGATAAGTAGAAATACATATGTATGTGTGTATATTGTTCAGTTTGAGTACATTTAATATTCACATGTTTTTGCTATGAGCAAATAATTTTTCTTCCATGTTGAGTCAATATACTCCTGTGATTAAAAACATATACTGCAGTAAGTTTATGTAGATAATACGAAGATCAAAATGAAGGTGAAATGATTTTAATCTTCTTGTAATTATTTAACTTTCTTATCATCTGCGTTTTTGAAGGCGATCCTGACTGTCACCTTTACGATAATCAGCTAATAAATCCTCATGATTGTTACACCTTTATGCATAGCAGTAATCTGAACAAATTGGCTGCTGACAGCTGCAATAAATTGCCAAGAATGAGTGCTGTCAGAGAACAAGTTGTTTCTGTGAACACACAGGATAAGTAAATCCCATGTCATGCAGTTTTGTTCAGCTGAAGTTATTTGCAATCCAGTATGGCAGGATTTATGGCATTATTTATTGGTATGAAAAATGTGTGTTTGTGTTTAAAATGACATTGACTACTTCTCATATTTTGTGCCAGGAAATTACTGTTGACTTCATCTATATCTATTTTCATCAGTATTTATAGAAGCTACTATCTTTTTTCCCATCTGATGCAAATTAAGAACAAAAGTCCTTTTGTATAGTATATTCATTAAAGCTAAGTATTAATTTTATCTGTAGCAAACGGAAATTTGCCATAACCTCTCTGAATATGGTCATGAAAATTCAAATCGATTTTGTGTGCATGTGTGTATGGGTACACACCATATAATGGATGTTATGAAGTACAAAAGCTAAAATATTCAAAATTAAGTTTTTAGGTTTTCAACACCTAATCTGCTATGTCTTGTCTGTTTACTTTTTTTCATAGCAACGAAGCCAGAGAGGGTTTTTTGGATGCACCCAAATACAAGCAATGTGCGACCTATGCTGCTGCATTACTAATCTGAAAGCACAGGGATACACTACTCAAAGTTCTAAACTAAAGTGGGATTT